TTTCCCATTCCCAACCTGCTGCAGTAACCCCCTGGACCCTAAGCCCCAAAGCTCCTACGGAACTTTAAATCCTAATCCCTACGCCCTGATTACCTACTCAACCGTAATTCCAAACCCAGAACGCGTAAACCCTAAACCCCGATTCCCAACCAGTAACGCCTAAACCCCTTAACCTTAAACCCTAAACTCCTAAACCCTAAGCTCTTTAACCCTAAGCACCTCAAGCCTAAACCCTCAACCCCAAATCCCTGAACCCTGAACCCCTAAACCCTCACACCCTAATCCCCCAAACCCCTAAGCCCTAATCCCCAGCCGAACACCCGAGCTTCCAGGAGACATCAGCTGTTTGTCAGGGCCCCCAACTACCCTTAAATAGGGTCTATGTAGAAGTTATATAGGGGATTATTATAGGAAAATGTTGTAGGTGTTATTAAGGGGATACTAGGAGTTTGGCTCAATCCAAGTCAGAATCATCTTCACCGGGCGTCTCCTTACTTTGAAGCCGCTGTGTTAAGGGCTTAGGCTAAGGAATGAGTAGGGAATAAGGGAACATGATATAGGGTTAAGGGCTTAGGGCTTAGGGTTTAGGGCTTTGGGATGTAGGGTTCATAGGGCCTATGGTCTGGGGGCTAGGGGTTAGGGCTGGGGGTTAAGGCTTGTTTGCTGCAATAATGGAGAAAGGAAACATCAGGGATGAGGTCCTGCAGGCATAGCTTGGCCACTGCCCCTTGCACTCGATAGTGGAGGTCATATACTAGCTGTAGCTGCACAAAAATACTTTGTAAGTATCATCCAACTGTTGCTGGGTGCGGGCAGTTTCCAAGGTTTTGGGCTTGGGGTTGGGGCCAACATACGAGTATGGCTTGTTTCTCGGGTTTGGGGGTTAGATTTTTGAGCTTGGGACTTTCAAGGGATACTTTAGCAATTTCTGAACGCATGCTGCTTGCAGGAGCAATGACTTTGCTCCTGACGCAAAATTTAGAAGAACCCTCCTTCTGTCTAAGAATTCAAACTAAAACAGAATCCGGTCTGTCAGTCAGGGTCACAAAACCCATCTGACATTTGTTGCCCGCAAACTGCGGGTTACGTACCCAGGACAAAATCTATAGGGGTCTACTTAATAATGAAAAAAAAGGTTTCAGGGTAACTTAGACCATGGTTTCATGAGCAACCTTTACTCCTTCAGACTGCAGCAGCCCGAACTTCAACTTGCTGACTTTCCAACTTGAATAAAGCTGAGGACTCTCAGGATGCAGCATAATCTTCGGTCAGCCGTGCTGATGCTACAGCGGCTCGTGTCACTACTCCTTCTTCTTGTTCTCTGCACGATTTGTGTCGATATCTATTGGACAAGCAAGGCCAACATGAAGAATATGGCGCCACGCAGTGGCACGGTTTATACTGGCATAACCACTAAATTCTTTGCTGCCCGCTGCTTGCTGGTGCTTAGGGGGGACTGGGATTGGAACCCTCTATAATACAAACAATATAAAGAAAAAGAGGTTATCAATGCATGTATGTGAATTGGCAACACTACTGGCATAACTGATGATTGCACCTTTTTTTTCTTGCTGCGAAAGTTGCGGCCTGAAACTCGGGGAAGACCCGTCGCAAAAGGACAGAGAATTCGATGAGGCCCTCTTGCTTGTCATCTATCATCCTCAGGATCAGAAGGCACAGTTCAAGGTTTGGGGGATAGAGTGGCTTTCGGCTATAGTCCCCTTAAGTAGATAGAACGCGGGGTAAATGGGGATCTTTTTCGAACCTATCCAAAACCATATTCTATCTACTTGAGGGGGACTATATACCAACTGAGCACTAAAAGCCAATCTCTGGCAAAGATGATGGTTACAGGAGTGCAGCATATGAGTAGTGTTTTTTGGTGGTTAAACCGAGTAAGATTATATTCCTTATGTAAAATACTAAACCCCAAAAGGAGGATATAATCTTACTCTATATTCGGTACCATAGTATCCCCAAATAAGATACTACTCATTGTGGACAACCACGGACCACAGCCTCTTGATCTGCGAGTCTTCCTTTAATGCCCAGTTTTCTTCGTCTGCGTTCGTGAAGATGCAAAAAAACAGGCAGACATGTTACGAAACACCCGCCTTGTTTAGACTTGTACGAATGAGGAACTAGGGACTTTAGGATGTTACCACGTTGTTACTTGGGTTTGACCTACCTAGCGATAAGTGCCATAAACCACTGGTTGAATGACCCCTTTCATTGTCCACTTCTTCTTTGACTCTTGACTCTCCATTCCCAAGCACTAAACCCTATGCATCATCCTAAAACCCCCAGCGAAGATAATCCCTATAAGCCACCGCATAAACCCAGTTTTCATTCAGTTCTCGATCTGCTTTCAAAAGCTTCTGCTATTTGATTTTTCATTGGGTGATCATTACCCCCCAATATACCCGGACGCGTATTTGATATTAGAGGAGGGAATGTATCGTGCGATCCGGACATTAAGGGCGAGGTTTTGAAAGACCCCGAGCTTGATCAGGAAGAAGGGTAGCACTGTAACAAAAAGTGTAACGTAAAGCGTCTCACCTTCGTGAATTTGAGCAACTTCACACCGCCTAATGAGAACTGTTTTGGGTTTAGAGCTCAGGGGTATGATGCTACTGCTTATTCCGAGGGGGGAGGGGGTGGTTATTTGGGGGAGTTGACTAAAGGCATAAGTCCGCCCAACAAAATTCCTCTACTGCGGGCTGTAACGGCCAACAAAATCTCCTGTAGATTCTGCTGGACAATCTGGGTTTGGGGTTTAAGGTTGGGTTTAGTGTTTGCGGCTCAGGGAACCCCATATTTGGACTGGAGGAATGCGCACGGGATGACAAATTCACTGACACGGTCGATGGATGAAATCCTGCATGACCGTGTACACCCTAAACCCTGAACCCTAAACCTGTAGCACTGTAGTATTATAGTACCCCCAGACTAAAGGCCTGAAACCATATCATGGTTTAGGGCTTCGGGTATCAAGGTAACCTATTTTGTGATCATACAAAGAACCTACTGGGAATGAGTTAGGCAGCTAGGCCCCTGTAAAAAGGTCATGCAGGATCTTGTTTGTACATTACATGGCGACTACCAAGTGGTAGGGAGTGGGGGAATGTGTCTTAGGCGGTTTAGGGATTCAGGTTTAAGGATTTGCGGCAGCCAAGCATGAGGTAGCCAAGTATGAGCATACTCTTCTTATGCAAAGTCTTCGCACAAGTAAAATATGCAATCTTACACAGGAGGTACGGTGCTTTGTGGGGCTTCGATAAGGTTTAGGGTTTAGGGATTGCGGCTTCGAGGCGTAGGGTCAAAGGCAAATGAGCCCTGCACTAAAATCCTAGTGTATTCCTTAATGGGTTCCCCGTAAAGCCCTATATAATCCTCTATACATCCGCCCCTACCTGACTTTAGTCCGTAGCCCAAATAAAGATCCGAAACTGATTGACCACGTACTAGCGCGAAGAGGGGCCCACAGTGCCCCAATCTTTTGGTTCAGGCGCTATACTTCCCATGTTGCCCCTCAAGCCGAAAGCCGAAACCCTAAAATACCCTAAAGCGCAAACCCCTAAATCCTAAACCCATGACTACCCAAAGCTGCGAGCCCATTTTCCAGCTGGCTTCAGAGAAGGTCCATGCTTCCCCAGTCTCTTGGGAGGATATGGAATATAGATCCCCCTAACAAATTCGCAGACATTTAAGGCTTATAGTAGCACAGGATATCATATTCGGGGTGGTCAGCCTAACCCTAAACAGTGGAGGGTTTTTTTTTCAAAGGTTTGGCTCCACCTTTTTTTTTCAAAGGTTTGGCTCGACCCCCCCTCTGTTTCTTTGTAACTGT